CCCCCCTCATTGACCTTGTGGCTCATCGTGCCGAGGGGGTGTAACAAGGAAAGATGCATAACAGTGCAATTACATCGCTATATATCAATAATATTATTGGTGTTCTAAATTTCCAACTCTTACTTTTTTATCTTTAGTCTGTCTACATAATTAATGTTCTTCAAAACAATTTTAAGATCAGGAGGACAACTTTTTTCAGACATCACAATAAGCCTCTCTTTTTTTAGTTAGGTGTGAAGCAACCTTCATTTTAAACATCGAACTTGTTAATTATTCCTTGTTACGGCGCAATATTGTCTTTGAAGTGAATAAATCTAATTTTCTCCAACTGCGTCACTCTTAGATCCCTTTTTCTTGTTTTAGTTTCCATAATTTGCTGTGCTGTTACTGTGGTAATTTATTAATTCCGAAGTCGTAACTGCAGAAGCTGCGTGGTGCTTGCCCATAAATGCATCTTTCTTTGGCGAAACAAGGTCAAACTTAAGGACCACTGCATCAAAAATTTTCCATTTAAAATTATTATTTGTACGTCTGTTTCCCGATGCTGTTGTCGATTACGTAATTTTTTAGTCTTGTTTAAGTTGGAGTATTCTAGATGAAAAAATTCTGCTTTCAAAGATGAGGGCTTTAAATCCTCGGAGCAGTCTTCCTTGAAATGGTAATTTTCGCTCAGGTTTTGAATATTCTAATTGGTTTATTTTACAATACTTTAAATCCCGTTTTGAAACCCACAAACGTCTTTTGTGATAAGGATGTTGTGATAAATTTGATGTGAGCTTCATGTTGTAGAGTATTTATTTAAGAACGTAGAGCACTAAAATTGACCTTACAAGTTCTAGTGGTAATTATGTTGTGCTTCTCCGATTCAACCATCTATAACTTTTTACTCGTTCAGAGTGTATTTTGGAGGGTTTTGTATCGTTCTCGAAATTGAGGGATATCTCATCACTAAGCACCATCAATGTATTCATCCGTGTAATGGAAACACTTTTATTTTTTTCAGATAAGGACTGAACTTGAAAATATTGCTTGTACGAGGTTCGCCAGACAAATTTAACGTAGATCCGAAATAACGAATGCAATTTAAAAGTTTTGTAATGATAAGTAAGGAGACACGACCTTCCAATTTTGCCTCAACATCTGCCAAATAATGCCTCCGTTCGTGTACTCCAATATAATATAATATTCTTTTGAAGTGTCCCATCAAGTGAATATTATAATCAGTGTTGCATATTTCAGGTCTGGAATTAAGTTGCGGGCATGCATCCGGAGGAGTATAACCAGTGCAGTTGGTAAAGCACCGCTGAATAAACCAATAGCAGGCACCCATCGAGTACTGCAGACAATACGCTGCTTTCTGTGGAGTCCGGACGGAAAGATGGAGCACCATACGTCGTACACCAGTTTCTGGTATTTTCAAAAACATATCGTCCTGATGATGGAGGCAGCAAGCACGCTTGACATGCCGGTCAGTTCCTGTGCAACGTCCGAAGTTTCCGTAAGAACGTGAAGTCTCATCGAACTGTTTTGCCACTTCCGACCATTTGCCCGCTTGTAATCGGATCCAACACAGAATTTTGTCGGTAGGTGTAGACATTATATACTACTTACTTCAGATTCCTAACAAGAAAATTTAAAGTAGGGGAGAAGGGAGCTAGTTGTTATGCGGGCAAGTTGTTATATTTTAGTTTAAAAATCACTCATTTGCAGCAGCATCTCATGAGTCAGCAGCTGATGAAGTATCTTCTGGAAGAATCTCGTTAAGGCAAATTGCTAATATATGATGAAAATGTTTATGTTTGAAGTTAATTTCTGTAATTAATTGTTAATTGGCATATTGTCTGTAATTAATTACTTCTGTTTACTAATACAGTGTGTTGTAACAAATTTCCCCTTCACTGTTACAAACCGCCTTCTCTTAAATAAACAAGTTTTGTGATGAAACAAAAATGAATAGGCCTTTGAAAAAATGTTATTAATATAGTCGAATAGTAGTAGTACCTGAAGCCATAATTGCTAATTTTGTAAATTTTAGGAATAAATTCACAAAAAAATCGTGATTGAAAATTTTAAGAACATCCGTAAGTTGTGATTGATGAGTACATCGTTCGTGTGATTCGGGAAAAATACTGAAATGAAGTTCTGACGGTGGCGACTTTGGTAGCAAGACATGCAAACAATGCTATGATAGGGTCTGGCGTAGTCTCCGGTAGAGGTCTGGAGTCAGAAGGTTAGTTCTGTGTTGGTGTGTTTGGCAGGTTATCTGGTTTCAGTCACTCTGAAGATATTTTCACATTTAATTTATTTTATAAAGAAGTTTTATAAATTTTGCAGTTTGAATGCGATTTACAAAGGTAATTCTACAATTAATATTACTTTTCGGCACAATAATTTAATTCCAGTCAATTAGCGGGTAATACGCTATTAACACTTAAATAACAAAACATCCAAATATACAGCTAAAACGCTTGGAACGAATCCCAAAGCTGCATTATCAATATGGAGGTAAAATAAAGCCCGAAAGATGCCAATAAGAGAGATCAGTTGTAATACTCGTAATAGGAGAGGTAAACAGCTTAACCCGCGATGCTGGAGACGATGATACGTCATAATCATATCTCAGATACGTACACGTAATTCGAGTGCGTGTTATCTGAACCCAGACAATCTGTTACAATCCAACTACCGCAGCTGCAGATATCGATTCCCGAAAATGATACAGAAATTCCAACAACGACGAGATCCGTATTATCGGGTTTATCGATCCTTGCCGTGAATTTATACAGGAATCGTGAAACTGTGTGACCAAATGAAATTAATAGCCTCTGAACGGAGAATTGAACAACCGTTTGTTTCCGTTTGGCTCTCTGATCCTTGCCGCCACTTTCATAAGCGGTCGAACTGTCTGCCTATCGAGCTGAGAGTGCCGACCCACTTTTTCCGATTGGGCTGGTTTTCGAAATAATGAAACTCTGGAACACAAGTTGAATTAAATTGCTTTGCATTTTATTTGGGTTTGCTAATCAGGAAGAATATTGGAGTATTCAAAGCCAGGTCATATGCCATTCCTCTCCACGAAGTACACTGAAACGAACAAATAAAGGAGAGACAATTTCTACCCATCGTGTCATTCATTTCCTTCACCGGATTGAAAATGCAATTTGGCATTGTATGCAGTCGAAAATTTGGTCGAGTTTTGTTTCCCCTCAAACAATGGCTAAAGGATGTTTTGCAGGGGCAAAGCGTAAAACTGTTGAAGATTTCTGTCTTCTGGGTTGTTGCGCTGTGTAGTCTGTTCGATGTTAACCAACGTTTAAGAGGTCATGCTGCCTTCGTCATCAGCGCAACAACCCAGAAGACAGAACTCTCACTGCTGTGAAAACCTCAAACCTTACGTAAAACTGTTCATTCACCATCTTCAAGTGTAGAGTTTTAACTACGAGTGGAGCTAGACCACCACATTCCAATACACACACACAGGGTAATTTAAAGTTCTAATACAATTAAGTAGTTTGTTCGAGGATATCACTTGAAGTAGAAAAAGTAAATAACTTTCTTTTAAGGATTAGCCAACGTTTCCGAAATACATTGTTTACTCGGTGATGTCGATTTGCGTTACTGTAATCTGTGATCGTTTGGCGGGGCCGCAGCGATGAACGTTCGTGAAGTACAGATAGTAATCGAAGAGCGACTGAGCTTTAAAATAGACCACGACCACGTTCTTCCACACCTTTTCCAAACTACCATTCGAGTCGACATAACCTGTTCAGTTGATAAAGTGTCTTTGAATAAACAAGGGTTCACTGATGATAATAATAATAATAGATATACAGTACTAGAAATATCGGACATATATTCCGGCTTGATTTGTAGATACTTGTACATTCGGAGTCTGATAACTACAAAATTTTCCGTAAGGTACTGAGAAAAACTATGAAACATCTCATTCAGGATTCTGGACCTCTATGCAAGTCCAGGGCCTCCGAAATGGGAATAAAAGGGGAGTTAACCACTTATCTGTTAACCTCATGCCTAGGTCAAGATATGGACTAAAGGCGGGCTACTACAAGTTCCGTTCGAACGTTTTGACCACAAATATGTGATCTCTTTTATAATATTGCAAACTGCAATGGTGACATTTAATAGAAAGACCCTCCACTATGGAATACGCCCTAGTCACAGTTTTTTTTGGACAGGCAGCAGTAGATTTCAGTATCACACAAAAAATAACTTAGACCGTTGATTTCTTGTGGCAACTTACATAAAAAAGAAGGCCTCAGAAGAAGGCAATTCTAAGCCCAGAAAAAATTCTTTCGTTCAGCTGTCTCCAGTCTTGCTGAATTACTTTTTCTCCGTCTTCAACCGTATTTTAACTCTTTATATTCATCTTCTTCATATTTTGCGGTCTAGTTGGCTTTCAGAGACGATTTGAGTAGTATTACATTCCCTAATGAATGAAAATAATAAAATGTTTCCCATGTGGTTTCAGTTCGAGTCTCTACGTTTGCAAACGTAAACGCTATTCAAGATATTATGCCATTTTCGATTTTACTCGAATTTTCGTCCATAAACGCAAATCATATTTAAAAAAATTGCTGTAATTCAGTAGCAGATCTCACGCTTCATCGTATTAAATACCATGTCTTCACAATTAGTCATTCATTCGCAATGCTACATTTTCCGTGACAGGACAGTTCTCGGCAAAAATAATAATAAAATAAAATTCTTTAGGACCATCGACAGCTTTTATACCGAAGGCACATCATTTACGATTCGTAATATATGACAAGAATTCGATTCAAGAACTTCGAAATACGAACATTTGCGGAAATGATTTATTTTCCCAGTAATATAATATGATCAGAACGGTTTTAGAGACTTGGAAATTTGAGAGATGTTTCCGTAAATACAGAGATTACTTTTGGTTTCAGAAATCTTCTGTGACTGTCCTGAGTTCGATTCCGCTAATTGAAAGAAGAAGTGATAATTGCACGGCAAACCGGTGTTGAATAACAGAACACTCGTAATAGGAACAGACGACTATCATAAGTAATAAGGAAGTTTGTTATTTGTATATAAATAAAAACCAAAAAACAAAAACGTCCTTTTACCAGTGTGTAGGTCTATGAGTGTTAATGTATCTTTAAGACGTCAAGACATCGAGACCGAATTGATGAAATGCTTATGTATGTTTGTCCATCCTCATATTTACATTTGAGTGTCATTATCACTAACTGACCATCTACAGTGAAACACGATATAAGTAAGTGAAATTCACAGTCAGTAATATTAGAATTTTAAAGTTTTGTCTTCAGAATACCAACATGGCTGCCGTGAAAAAGTATGACGTGGAACATTTCTACAACTATCAAATCTGCGTAACAAGAAGTTTTAGAAATAGTTTATATCTGTATTAATTCTAATGCTTTAATTCTAATGAGAATGACAAGAATAATAAATGGTTAGTTGTATTATTTAGCGAGGAATTTCCATGGATAATTTTTACCAGTGCAGATTACGACAGAGCTAACATTCCAGTATAAGCTCAAAGTTTCACACAAAATGGTTAATTTCATCCCGCTATAAAATAAAGCTAAACATAACATTCGCGTGGCCAGAATGTTGTTTTTATACATTTTAAAAATTTCCACCAACAAAAACTTTACATAAACACCTATGCATATCAAAGATCTATTTTAGGAAGCTAAGGCAGTACACTGTTGCCGACGCTCATTTCGTTGCCACCTCGAAAGTTTGCGCCAACACATTATTGGTACAGTAAACTGATGGTAGGACAATAGACGGGTGGCATCTGGCGGCATTATGTTCACAAGAAAAGTAATTAACTTTTGTAAATTCATTCAAAAATAAACATACACACCGACATAACAATGCCGCATGATAATTCTTTCACATAAAATATAAATAACAGATTAGCAATGCATTTGTTTATTTCAACAGCAAATGAAAATTTCTATTCTTCAAAAGCCACTTCCATCTACATTTTAAGATAAATTCCGGCCAGAATTATACGTGTTTCTGAGCGAGGTGACTTATCTATAATCTGGAACGGGTTAACAAGAGAATTACAAAGAAATTATGAAACAGAAACGTCTGATTACAACGCCATTCTCACTCGGCTGATCGCCCAAGAAGACTTCAGTCGCCGTGAAAGTTTCACATATTGCGACAGATGGCTAATAGATTCTCCGCCTTTTATGAAACCACAAGTTTCATGAAAGTGTTAAGAACAGCCTGCCATTGAGCTTTATGCTTACGATTGAACCAGAAGAATTCACAGCCTCCCACAGTAGTCTTTGAGATCCAATTTGATATTAACCTCACATTTATGCCAAATGACTTCTCTCCCTGCTATAACTGCTATATGCCCTGTAAATTTTAATATTATCCTTTCATAAGCGTCTACCAGTTTAACTAACTAACTAACTGACTAGATGGCTTACCGAACCCGAAGGTTCATCACCGAATTAACCAAAGCCCTCCACCGGACCCTGTCCTGGGCCAACAAAATCCAGTCTCCTTCAACTCCTATCTCCAATAGATCCCGCCTGACATTATCCTCCCATCTACGTCTAGGTCTCCCCAGCGGTAAATGGATCAATTATTAGAATCGTAAAAAAAATCTGTCCAGATTAGATTTGTGAACTATTTGTATAATTCGGCGTGAGGTAGATCCTCGGAAAACAAACTGCCGTGAACATAAACGATTCTGAACCACTGCTGTACGTTAATAATACATCTTTCGCGTTACAACAATGTGAAGACGTTTAGAAAGGCGACGGAAGTGAAATTTAATATACATGCCAGATACTCACAAGACAAGACGCCACCATTAGTTAACGTCACGTGTCCAAGTCACTGCTTGCTTGACTTCAACCTTACCAGTCCAGCAGAGCAGAAAGAACTACAGCGCCTGGAGACTTGACGTGGTCTAAACAGATTATCATCTACCTCTCTTACTGGCCTATCGACACAAATTGCCGACGAGGCAAATTTTGGCCAAGTACCAACCTTCACTCAATCTGTTTTTCTCCTTGTAAATTTCTCATTATCTAAAATAATAAAATACGCTTCGATCCTCATGAACGATCTCGTTCTATTTTCGTTATAGTGCGGTTTTGTTCTCTGTGTCCCTAACCTTAGAGTAAAATAAAGAATTCTGTGTCTGTGAAAAAACGAGTTCTCTGGGATTCTGTATTCGTTATTGGTCATAATGTTTGTTTATTGCAGACTAAAATGAGATAATCAGCAATAGAGATACTTAATACTAAATTTATTCGTGCTACAAAGTCTTATTCAGAAAAAAAACCTAAGGCACTATTTCGGTATCGTAAAATTTTTTAGTGTATATACTAATACTATGTTTTACATATGTTCTCATACGATTATCAGATGACATACAGTCATGATAAAAAATACTAATTCAATTGCAATATTTTAAATTTAATATTTGTTAAATATTAATGTCTGCTTGCTGCTTGAAGTTCAGAATCTTTCGTTTTCCCTTATGTTACATAAAACGTAAACATTAAAATATACAAAAATATAATTTCACTTTTGTTCTGTATCGGTGTGAAACCTGGTATTTTACGTCCAGAAAAAATAAACAGACGACGGGTATCAGAGAACAGAGACCCTAAGTGACTATCTGAACCTAATACGTGACATAAGAGTGGATAAAATGACATAATGAGAAGCTTCATAACTTGTACACTTCACCAAGTACTAGCTATAAGAATGACAAAAAAAACAAACAAGGAACATGAGATGGGGGGGACATGTAGCGCGCATGGGGAAGATGTGTGCAGAACTGTGATTGGAAATTCCAAAGCGAAGGCACCGCTCGGAAGATCTAGGCACAGATGGGATGATAATATTAAAATGGGTCTTTGGGAAATAGATTCGCAGTTCGTAGAGTAGACTGATCCGGCTCACGATAAAAAACTGTAGCAGGCTCATTTAAACACAATAAATCTTTTTGTCCCATAAATGGTGAGGAATTTCTTGACTAATTGAACGTACTTTTAGATTCTTAAGAATTTGTATGCCGGAAATATAACGCTAAATCTTACCTCAGGATAAACTCTATGGTGAACCACACGACAACTACAATCTCCATGTAGAAAAGTATTATGCTCGCTTGCTTCTCGTACTTTTCTATTGTAGAGAACACGCTGAGCGCCAGGCACGTAAACACCATGCAAAACCTGGGGAATAGAAACAAACATGTACAGATGAATCTAGAACATCTCACCGCTGGAGATACTGTAAGGCACAGAAATAACCACAACATATCATTACCGTAGAGAAATTAAGAGAACACTACATAAATGAAGAATAAGTAATATTAATTAAAATGCAGAAATTGACTAATTAAAATACCTCTTAATAAGCAATGTTATCTGGTAACAAACTATAACTTCGCAGGCATCAAACGCTGAGAATGGACATGAATAACAAACGAAACGAAATAACCAATTCACCAATCCACTACATGAGAGAATAATAACCAGGGCATTGACTCAATAACTGATTATATGGCGCCGAGTGTTTAGCGTCATGTCAGTTACAACATTAATTACATTTAGCAAAATATCATTGCCCAAGAATTACTGTGCAAATTCACACGAGTTAAAAGTGGCGATTTGGCTGCGTAATAAAGCATAATAGAAATAAATAAAACTAAAGTAATAACAATGTCCATACTGGGGGTTCCCGCCCCGGTGGTCTAGCGGTTAGAACGCTGGCCTTGTAAACCTGGGGGGTCTCGGGTTCGATTCCCGGCGGTGCCCGAATTTATAACTTGTGTTGGGCAAGGCCGTGGTCCAGGCAACACGGAGTTTTCCTCCGGGGGCTTCCCCGGTTTCTCCGTGGCATCCCAACAATTACTCCATTCACACACAGAAGAAGGCAATGGCAAACCACTTCTGGATCATCTGCCAAGAACGTATATGAACAGGTCCCAGTCCGAGAAAAGGATGGAAGGATCCTGTTCATATGGACCTGTCCTCAGACAGAACACTAAATAAATAAATATAAAAAAATACTGGGGGTGTTTAGAGCACACAGCACACGTCCGGATGATGGCTGTCTTCTGGGTTGTAGCGCCGTGTAGTCTGGTAGAAGTTTACCGACGTTTCAGAGGTCCTTGCTACTACAACCCAGAGGATAGCCGTCTTCGGACTCACCGCCGTGAAACCCCAAATCCTACACACGCCTGGCATTTATAAGACCCAGAGGTGGCTTTTTAATATTCGAGCAAAAATAATAACTTATTTATTCTTTCAAACCACGTTTCCAGGGCTTAAACTATTAGCATGAATACTCCGCCTCTGCCTTAGTTTAATAACAATCGATGACCTGGAGCCAACTCTCGAAATGCCGTGCATACAAAAAATACCTCAGATAATGGACAATATCCAACAAAATATTGATATGATAAACTAACCACTGCCACAAATTGTATGCAGCCCACGCACTTTAATAATTTGGCACTGCACGACATATTTCACTTACCTCGCATTAAGAAATGAATATGTTAACTTGCTTATTTGGTAAGTCACGTGACAGCGGGGAAAAAATGTTAGCGTTAACATATGAGTTGCTAGGATACCAAAACATCACGGACGTATTTAATTTCAGCTCGACACGCATTACTAAATGAAATTTATTCCTTTTAACTTTTTTACACTTCTTTGTCAGTCGATTATTTGCATAATTCTAAGAGATACGCTCTGCAATTAATGCAATATCAGGGAAATATAAATGTAATACGCACAGTTCTTGTAAACAAAGGTAGAGAATTTAGACCTTGGTCTTCTCGGTTGTGACCCCATTGGTCTTACAGGAGAAACAATGATATCCGTTCCCAATCCCGCAGACCGTAATCCAACACCGCACTCAAATCTCTGATAGTCAGGGGAAAAGGAAATAAAAATGCGCAAAATTATAATTTTATCTGCGGTTTCATACGGATGTGTGATGGATGGATATCTGTCACCGTCGGTAATGAACGAAGGTTGAGTTACGAGAAGAATATTTGGACCTATGAGAGAGGAACAGCGGGAGGATGGGGGAAAATTAAATAAAAAGGAAATTTCACAGTTTGTATTAATCACCCAATATCATTAAGGTGACCAATTCAAGGAATTTTAAATAGGATACTGTGAAGTGAAAAATACATTTCGGGCTGATGGGCTAATGTGCTAAATGGTCGTGAAATCGAATATCCTACTTGCGCCAGTATTTCTTTCAATGTCTGCAACTATCAATGTGTTTCATACAGAATAGCTAATATTGTTATTATATTTAATTATGTATTTTTATATAAATTTCAATAACTTAAATTTTCCGTATATAATCCCAAATTTACACATCGTCAACAAGTTTGTAACTGCTGAATTGTAAACAACATTTAATGCATAATTTATAACAATGTTTATTATATATTTTAATGTATAATTTCGTATTTATAGCTCTTATGGTTTAATAGTTATAGCTTTTAAAGTGGAAGAAAGATTAACAAATAAGATTTTGCACGGTTGCTATGTTATCGTACATTTCTTTTTATGATACGCAGCCCTCACGGGGGGGGCACACGATAAATGCGTACAAAAGCTTAGTAGAAAAATTTGAAGAAAATAAAAATAGACCATTCCTGAGACTTTGGTACAGACACCGTATCCACAGATGTCGACTGATTCATATGACTCAGGACAGAGTCTACTGGCGTACGGTAATGAAACTTATACTTTGTTAAAACACGGGAATATAGACTAGATAAGCTACTAGAAATGTTCTGCACCACGAGCGTACTAGGAGTATTTGAAAGAGGAATTGGATGTTCAGACAGATGAACATCCAAACACTGTTCCGAAGAAAAACAATTTTCATGGGACTGATGTAAATGAATATTAATGACCTGAGGTAACAACACATTAAATTTAATATTGTACTGCGTACGTTTGTACTTGGATCAGGAAAATTATATTCCCAGCCCCAATTTCGACTTAATTGCTGGCTTCCGCAATTTTAGATAACTTGTCTGAAGTTATGACGTATAACGCGTGCAGACTTACCGTAACTGACAATAAATCTTGATGAAGCAGAAAGTAATCTGTTTACAGGTAGAACGCATTCGGAGGTATTACAAAACCTGGCAAATCTACTACTTACTGCTTTTAACTCAGATGTTCCTGGACACATTTACGGATTAGTTAATGAACACAAGCAAAAGATGGCTGTCTTCTGGGTTGTTGAGCCGTATAGTCTAGTAGAAGTTTACCGACGTTTCAGAGGTCCTTGCAGCCTCCATAATTGCGCCTCAACAATCCAGAAGACAGCCATCTTCAGACTCATCGCCGTGAAAACCTCAAATCCTACAACAGAAGCAAGTTATAAGAGGATCAAGATACAAATGTTTATCTTCCTAAGCACCAATACATTAAAAGGTATAAGGAATACGACAGCTGGTGGAGGGAATGGACAACATCACTCTTCTACCGTTCACACCCCCTCTTCAGGGGTAAATATCATCAGGTTTCTAATGGATACAATGGTAGGTTGTCTCAGACCTGCAGGGCATTGTGACGAAGAGAAATATTAACATTTCTACCGGAAATCGAACTCTGTGTTTCCAGTCCATAGTCACTTTACGTCAAGTCAGTACAAGGAGGCCTCTATTTCATGGGGTTAATTGACGTAATGATAGCCTCCTATGGCTTAATGTTCTTGTGAATAATTGTAAGTAACCGCACATTTATTAAAATGTGTGAAATGTAAATGCAAAGAAATTATTATTATTATAATTAATAATTGTTAAATTAACACTCATGATAAAATCTCTATTCCCATCATTCGACTCTACGCAATGTCCAACAAAGTCTTCGTCTAGTGAGACGAGAATTAATCAATGCACTTTCACACTACGCAAATATTGAAATGTTAACTATACATTTACTACAAATTTCTGCTGTTAACTGCCATATCAGTCTGTTATTGAATTTTAATATCACTGCTTTAGTTGTGTCCCTAATGAAAACGTAGTTTTGAATTTAATACACAGAATATCCACGCCAAAACTCTCAGCTTTAAATAAGACGTCTAATAACGCAATAGTTACGATACCGAACCTTGAAATAATCTTCTACCCCGCGGCAAGGAAGATTAAATTTGATGACAATGTCATTAATTCACGATTTCATGATTGCAGTACTCGTCACTTTCTTAAAACTCAACACTTTGCTGTTAATTACAAATTCCTTTCCAGAGGCCGCTTACAAGACAGAATTCCATTGTGTTAATTAAAGTCTTAGATTGAATAATGTAACATGATTAACTGCAGCTTTCGACGAGCACGAGAATATCGGTTTTTGTGTAAACTGGATACTACAGGATCCAATTGTACGGAGGGTGTACGGGTAAGGCGTGAAATGTGGTTCCTGCCTTAAGCCAAGTTCTAGGCGCCGTACATCAAAATCGGAAACCAAAAATTGCGTCAAAGCATATGTCAAGAACAGTCATTTATGGTTCATCATGGATGGGACAAGAGGTGTGCACCGGGTATTGGTTGGGAAGCCTGAGGGGAAGAGACCGCTGGGGAGACCTAGACGTAGATGAGAGGATAATGTCATGCAGGATCTGTGGGAGATAGGAGTTGAAGGAGAGTGGATTTTTTTGGCCCAGGACAGGGTTCGGTGGAGGGCTTTGATTAATTCGGTGATGAAGCTTCGGGTTCGGTAAGCCATCTAGTTAGTTAGTTATCCTTTTGCAAATCTCATGTTCTTTTCGCTAAAAATTTTCGTGTTATTTTCAGTTCCAACAGGCAAATACAAGGACATGAAGTACATTGAAATAAGCAATCACCACTTTTACATCATTCCCCATTCATTATTCGTTCGACGGAATTTTATATGATTTCATAATAGTCTTTAAATAAGCCATTAACAAATGGATCCGAATGAAGGCTAAATCTTGCATAGGAAACTTAAGAGGATATTTCATTTCCCCTCTCGAATCTGTAAAACAATAACCTACAATGAAGAATGTTGCTTTTCGAAGTTCTTCTTTCTTTATTCCTTTCTCTTCCCTTGTTATTTCATTTTCTTCTTTCGCTCTTTCTTACTCTGTTCTTTCCTCTCTCTATCTTCCAGAACTTATTTGTTTCTTTTTTCAGTCGCCTTTCATACCAACACTTCGATAAAACACGTGTTGGCCCCGTGTTAATTCTGTGCAAGGTCGACGTAAGACCCACAACGGCAATTCGTAGCAGCAGCGAAACAAACTGCTGATAAGTAAGTGGTGCCCTCTAGCGATGCGCGTGTGCTTTACTTCGACAGCGATAAAAGACTGCCACTATTACGCTCACGTGTTAAACGGAAGCACCACACACTAACTAGATGGCTTACCGAACCCGAAGGTTCATCACCGAATTAACCAAAGCCCTCCACCGGTCCCTGTCCTGGGCCAACAAAATTCAGTTTCCTTCAACTCCTATCGCCCATAGATCCCGCCTGAGATTATCCTCCCATCTACGTCTAGGTCTCCCCAGCGGTCTCTTCCCCTCAGGCTTCCCAACCAATACCTCTTGTCCCATCCATGCGCGCTACATGCCTCGCCCATCTCATTCTTCTCGACTTAATCAACCTGACAAAGTTAGGGGAGGAGTACAGATTTTTAAGTTGAAAAGAGCTTACACAGTCTTGAAAATTATGTGAAGACCTTTCTCAGCAAATGAGTTAAACTGCAACGTTTTGCACAGAATTTACCTTGGTCCAAGCTGCCTCAGCTCCCAAAGGCATACACATATATATCAGTAGAGTACCTTAAAACAGGCCACGAACACTTGGCCATCTAGATTCATTGTTGAAGTGCCAGTCACTTTATCAAGACGTTCAACCAACTGTACATGATCATTTTCATTCAGTATCCGCGGATCCTGGTCAGTTATCATCAGATTACGACATACTGACTCACGTATGAAAGGTACCCGGATCGAATCCCGACATAGGAACCTCTAATTCCAGCTGAGACAATTTCTCAGTCCCTTCAGGCAATGCCAGGAGGGTGTCTCAAAGGGAGAACAAAGAATAAAAGGAGATATAAGAAGGGAGAGATAGCGAGGGAGGCGATTAAATAAAACGTTTTGACTTCAGTCCATCTCGTTCGACATTGTATGATCTAAGAACTTGATACAATGTTATAAAATAAATTAAACCCCAAAATACAAATGTCGTTAAAACATACGAGCCATTATCAGTTAGACGAAACAACTATTAATCATCACTGGAGCTCAGTGACACTGTCACTACTAAAATAACTTATCTTTGATTATTGGTAGGTACAAGATATACCGAATTTTGGGGAAACTGTCCTTCAAACGTCTGTTTGTACAGGAAGCTATGGTTTATATTCTCATACTCGGATAATTACGGGAAGTAGTTGACGGGCGTTTTGTGAACATGTCACAAACGGTGAATTTCTTGACTAACTAATCTATTATTATCTTTCCAAGGAGGGCTGTGATCTATGGCGTTATGAATGTTGGGATATACATTCATACAGGTCACAGAGTTCTAAAGTAGGAAATACATTAAGTGATTAATTGCGTCGTATCACGTAGTTGCTTTACTTCAGTGTCACCCTTTCGCAGCCTTGAAATATCAGACAGGTCATGTCGTGCTCTTAGTGTTGATAATCGCCGTTGTCATGGCAACACCTATTGACAGTTGCACCTGCTAAAACCAGTTCCTTCGGATTGCCCATGATTCTGTCGTTAGCTTTTTAATTTAGCAAGCATAGAATTATGCTGTTGCTTACAAAATCATCAGATTGTTATTGCACCCGCCTTTGAATTTGCAATTTTTCTGTTGGCATTGTTTAAAGAAAATATGCATATGAAAACCACTGAATCGTTTGTGAAGCTGAAAATTGAGATTATTAACCAGTTTAATACAAGGTCGGGGGTTTGAACACTGTGAATACCGGTTCAAATTAAATTTGGGTGTAGATGTTTACAGGCTCCGTCTTAAGATGCGTATTTGTCGCAAGATATCTCCGAGCTTCATTAAACATTACAAATATACACGGTGATGGTTCGCCAGTTGCGAAGTTGGAAGGGAGAGGGGAAGTTTTAGCGCCATTAATTCTTTACTGTGACGTAACCCAGACTCACAGATATTTTGCATTCACTATAACCTACAGATCCTCCGCCTGATTAATCCTACGCCTCAAAGAAAACCGTAGGCTGTCCGAAGCTCGCAATGGATTTGCGTACTAACAACAGAATACATCGTATTTCAAGACAGCCTATCATTACATTTTTAACTACTGACACTAAATTTCTAGGACTTTATTTGAATAAATTCAAAGCTGCGAAAAGCCCCAACAAATAGAATTTAAAAAAAATCAGTTTTGTTTCAGCTTAATGTAGTGCATAATATAAAACTGTTATGATACTTACCAAGACCGTCATTGATGCTGCTGTGAAATGAACACTTTCGAGTTTCATACTAAACACGGCACACGCTACATTAATTCGGTAACACTCGCTGAAATTGCACGTGACGAAATCCTGAATATTTTCAGCTTAAGGGGACTCTCGGAACAAGATGAGGCCACTTACCACTTCGACAAAAGTGCCCTTGAACACTATAAATTAATTCAGTGCGTCGACAAATTTCACATCATCACTAATGGTTTTCTTAGCATCTGGTTTAACATTTCCTTCTTATCTACGATTAGATCCCAGGAAATGTCTTCTTAGATTCCGTTTTCAGCAGATTTTTTTTAAAATCTTTCTTCTTTTTTAATGTCTAAAATATTAATGGAATGATAAAATCAAGGATAATTACATGGGTAAAACGTTTACCACTGATCATGAAGGCCCAGCCAATGTACACGATGTTGAGAAATCATTCCATTCAAGAAATCTTCAGCCTTTGTCTAAAAACAGGGAAGCCCGCTGCTGTGTTTACCTAAGCCTCGGAGAAATAATGCTATCCTGCCATAACCCATTTCTTTAACGTCTATCGTAAAAATCCATCCACCTAGCTTCAGGTAACCAAGTGCCAAAACCGGTATTTCAACCAATCGGCCGGAACGTTAGGTACAAAATAATATTGAACCTGTGAACATTTTAATAAAGAACAATGATAACTGAGGTTTCCACGAAAATAAAACGATCCTCGTTGCAGTACGACATTATTACGGCTTCCCGTTAACAAACAATGCAAAGCAAATAAGAAATTCACTCAACGGGGAAACAGGGTGCGGATTTCGCTGTTTACATTTAAACCGCGCTGTTTCGATCAAGGTTTCCTGCGTGGAAAATAAAGCGATTGAAAATTGCCATCCCCCTTTTTAAATTATTCAACATTTTGAAGAAGCGTTTGTTCCGCTGAATCAATTCTGTTTCCATCCAGTCGCACGTCTACAGCTCATTGGCTGAAATGGTTATCTGCTTTAACGCTCGTCGCACATAAAAAGATCACGGCTGGGCCTCCTACATAAAGTATGCATAACGACGACTTTCGTATTTCCTGCTTTTAGAAAATTATTATTTGTGGCATGGAAGAAACTGAATACGCGAATCACGTAGATTTACCACGCACTACTCAGATGATAAATGTATACAAAATATTAGTCGTAAAACCTGAAGAATAGAGACAACTAGGAAGACAAATACGTAGACGGGAGGAAGATTTTAAGGCTAGTTATTCACTTAGTGTCTTTGGCGATGGCATATTACTGCTTTTTTTATTTTGGACATTATCCATAATTTGTTTTAGAAGATTTCATAAATTTAAAACCTTACAAGTCAGTACTTTTCAATGGATCCATCTTCCTTCGTCTTCGGTAAAGAAAGGAGGGAGATACCTGTTCTGTTTCGTCCGGAAGACCGGGTCCACAGATCGGGAACAGCTCGGTCTACCGACTGAAACCAAACAGCTGTCCCTTTCCTACTCAAAGACGAAGGAAGTACGTTCAGAGTAAAGACTTTCAGCACCTTATGTGACTGGCAGCAGTTCCACAAAGTTTGGGGTGCGAATCTACTACAAATATGATAACCATCAATGTATAAATAATGGTTTTATTACTGAAAGCCTGGTGTCACTAACAACAGGCTCACTCTGTATTTTAACAGCCGCTTATAATGAATCTCAAATTGATTTGTTCTGAAGTCTGCGCAAATACACACGCGGAAGTACATATTTTAACAAATCTAAAACTTCTTGACGATGGTGAAGAGTCAATTGAATAAAAATTTACTTGGATATTATCCATCGTCTAGTAAATATAAAACGATGTTTCGGAGAAGTGACTCTATCTCCGTCTTCAGTTTCCTACACAGTTGGGCCCACTTGATAGAGCTAATCCCTATCTCCGAAACGTCGTTTTACGTTTTATATTTACTAGACGATGGATAATATTCAAGTAAATTTTTATTCAATTGACATATTTTAACATTTTGAAGCAGATTATTCCTAAGTAGCAGACAATGGCTGAAATGGTCAAATATTCCCAACCTTATATGTATAGAATTTTATGATTCATTTGGTTAAAAACAGCCTACCACTAAACACCCTCTTCATCTAATAACAGTTTTAATATTATTATTCCACGTGTACTTCGGTCTCCAAGGTCGTGTCTTACTTTCAGGTCTTTCAATTGAAGTTGAATATTCCTCATGTCCCCCTGCGCGTTATGCATCACAGCCATGTCATTTTCTTTGATCTGATTCCCAACTTATTCGTGAAGAGTTCAAATAAGAAACCGCTCATTATATAACTTTCCCCATCCTCTCGCTCTGGCCCAAGTATTGCACCCAGTTCCTTCTTCTCAGTCAAATTGAATCTATGTTTTTTCCTTGGAGCAAAAATCCTTGTTAAATTCAAACTTCTTGTCATGAAAACATCGATATTGCCGTTCAATCTTCTATGTACATACAGAATTCAATATGGTATCATATTAAAGCGGACATAATTCTGTGTATAACTTGCACGTTTTTTAGTACTATGAATACACTGTTTTGTCCGTCACTCGTTATCGGAGAGAATTGTTTTAGCTTTCAATGGCCATTCAGAGCTCACATTTTGTTATTCTATCCGCGTGAAGATTACACACCGATAATGACAGCAACTCTGCCGGCAACAAACTCCGAGTAGCATGATTTAAAAAAAATTCTGTCAAATCAACAGAAATTACGGGCATATAGGAGTAAAACATTAAACTTATTCTGACGTAATCAATTCAAATGTGAGACGGATACACATATATTAATACATCAAACTCTGACAAATTTTGTGTTAAAAATGAAATAGCAAAGAGGCGTGAGTAAATCTGGGCTTCATACATAACTCATACCTTTACACGAGATCAACGTACGTCATGATACAAGGGCAATATCTTTCATCGAAACCCTCACAAATAACAGAAATCTGCGATTCAATAATAATAACAATGTTAACGTTATATTATGGAAAAGTGGTGACAAAAGAAATTTAAGAACTAAAAATTACCCGCTAGAGACTGCTAATGCATTGTTTCACTTTAGACGTTTAGTGAATAAACTGTGTTCAAAACTTGATTTTAAAATTACGGTCTGTGCATAATGAACCATCTAGAATGTTACGATACAAATAAGAATTATTTGGAATAACATTTAATTACTACAAATTTCATTGAAAATTTTAAGAATAATGATAGATGACACTAGTAACATTCAATTGTGATATTTAAACAGGCATTTAAACTGCTTTCATTTTTATTTACGAGTATGTAAAATATAAATGTAAAGAATAATGGTGTCCTGAGGACTTCATAGCGTACAGCGTAGTATTAAGACGAACTGACCATTGTTTTAAATTATATTCTCACAGTCATAATAGGAGGTTTTACTTAAATTTAAATTTAAATTTTGCAATGAATGTCTCCCTGATGACGGAGGCAGCATGACCTCTGAAACGTTGGTGGACATCTACCAGACTACACTGCGCAACAACCCAGAAGATGACAATCTTCAGACTCACCGCCGTGATTCCACGGCGCTGCAAACCAGAACACACCCATCTTCACAACTCTTTCGAAATTTAATATTTTGAAACATTTCCTAAAACTAAGCAATTCATAACACATTTTCATTTATATCTAAGTAAAATTCACTTTGAAGCCCGAATTTAATTTAAATGGTCTAATATTTAAAAATGGAGCCCCTTACGCCAAAGAAAACAAAGCGCCCATCCACATAAGGCTCAATTAGTTAAGTATGTTTAGGAAAATAATTACTTTCTATTCTGAGAATCACACGAAACTTATAAATACACGTGGGCAAAATACAAAGTTATTGAATGAAAAAGTGTGTGGGGCTATGGCAATTTAAAGGGCTCAAACAGATCATTAGGTTTGAAAGCAAGAGAAATATTGGTTGGAATACAATTTCAAGTTTTCAGCATATTAATTGAGCTAAACTGTGAATAGGGAAACGCAATTTGTCAGACATGGGGCCCAGAACATTGGTCACACTGACGTAGATATATCTAATTTCTAATAGAAGCTAATTGTTTGTTATTAATATTAGTTAGCAATACTTATGCTATTTATTCAGAAGCATTAGTGTTAAAACCACAGCATCTAATTACGAACAGTCCACCAACACAAATTTCGTCACATTACTATATAAACTGTAGTTCACTCGTCATAATTAGTAACATTTCGTATCACAGCACACTTAATTACACTTTCACATCCGACTATTGACTTTGACGGTATCGATATATCGACTGCAGTTAACCTCAAGGGAACACCCTCAGTCTAGCGTAACTTGATACGAATTGTGTGTTCAAGATGCTGACTCTACCCATACGGCACTCGCTATATCGAGTCACGTGATCGACTGACGCTACTATCGTCGCGGTGGGTAATTGTTACGTCGCGTGTTTACTAGATACATTCAAAGAACAGGCAGCGCTCTATGTACAGGACACATCGATATACAGAAAGTGCATCATGTGATCTGACTTTCCATTAATTTTTTCCAATATTGACAACCTCCAAAGCACAGCTGCTCCGGGCCCAACTGAAAACGAACATTCCGATGCCCAGGTCTCGACTGACAGTGGCAGTCCAAGATTTATATTTTATTAAACACACTGTCACTTTGTATCTTCAAATAATTATTATTACAAGGAAATATACTGTGATGACTATCCTACATAATATATAATTTAGATGGTCTCTTTGTGTTATCAGAAAGGCCTAGGTGCTATTTAAATTATAATAACATTAATAAAAATTAAAACTTGTAAAATGACTATATTATGTCTGGTGTACTTCTTCTCAGTCATTCCGTACATCCTGTTATAGCCGTTGCTACAGAAATCAGAATTAATTTATCAGTCAAGCAGCCGATGGTTGGTTACACGTTTTATAAATAGCGACTATTATGATATTACCGTTATTATTCCTGTAATTTTACTTTCCGTACTGTTCTAATGACATTCTTGGAGACTATTAAGAATGTTATATGAATCTGACAACAGTGTATTTT